CAGATACAGTGAGATACAGTCAACCAGTACAAAGTCCAAACATAGGGGCTTTAAAGCATATTTTATTATATTTTTTTGTAACATGTGCCCAAGACCTTCTTTTTTACGCCCCTAGTAGTTCCTGGGGGAAGGCAAAAGAGGGTGGTGAAGAAAGTCACAGGTTTTGGATTATCTATTGCCATGTACTCACCACATCTCCACCATCTCCCCTGCCTGCATTGCCAGCTCTCTTCAATTTTCTACTATTTTTAGAAAACATAAGTGAGCTGGCATAAAATAATCATTAATATCTTTGTATCCTCTTGGAGATTCAAGAAGACAGTGCTTTATTGCTGATGTTCACATGATTGTGAACTCATAATTGATGCTTTCAGTCATGCTGGGAAAAGGGGAAATATGAGGCAAAATGCCATTAAAGGACATTTATGTTGTTCATCTTTTCAGCAACACAAGCTTCTTATCACTCAGGTCTGGTACTGGGAAGACAATATTAAGTAAGAGCTAACTGAGTTAGCTATATGTATTTGTCTGTACTCACACTAGCCATACTCCATGGGTTTTCTAAAGCAGAATACACTCCAGCAGAACATGTGCTAATTCACATCCTTAGAAAGGAAAGCAGTGAATCATTTCTAATGATTCAGTTGCTCGACTCATAGCACCAAATTAATTCTGACTGGAAAGTTGCAAAAAAATTATCTAAGACGATTTCAAGAATTTATTTCAGATTTATTAATAAATAAGCTTAATTAAACAAGGAATTGACTTTGTTAAATCACTGGCCTACGACTGAGGTCTAGTCATCAAGTGAGATCCCTGCGAAACCACGTCACTTTGCTGGCCCTTGCTGTATGGGTTCATTTCACCAAACATTTATCAAACCACACACATGTCATTGGTAGATGCTCAGGTCTCTGCATGCATCACCACTATCAAAGAGACAAACTCTGAAGGGGGGACCACAGAAGGCAGGTCTGATCTCTGGGGGCTCTTGCTTTTCGTGGGGAAAATCCAGGTCAGACTGCAAACTAGCTCTCAGCAGGGCTACACACCTGAGGAAGGAGCTAGGAGGCTGACTGCCCTCTAACACAGTGGTGCTGGAACCAGCCAGATCTCCACCAGTGGCTCCATCTACACCAAGCATGGCCGAACATGAACCACACCAGGAAGATGATGTCAGGCTGCAGCAAGTGCAACGAGAAGAGGGAAAACTACTGCCAAAATAGTAATCTGTGTTGAGTCCAAGTAAAAAAGTCTGCTTATATCTAAATTCAAGTATTCTGATATGTAAAATTAAACTTTTTGCTTCTTCTTGCTGACAGGAAGCAGCAAACATGATAGAATATAGCCTAACATACATTTTAGTATGACTTTATGTGAATTTGAATCGGCACCATCCTCTGTGAACGGTTTAATAAAGAACACAACTCTCATTCTAGCACAGAAACCCTGCTTCCTCAAGTTTTCCTTTCTGCTATATTGACCTCAGCTACAATTTTCCCAGCAAAAATGCAATAGGTGGTTTATGTCACATTATAGGAAATCACAAAAGCTCTTAAAGTGGCCAGGATTTTCAGGCACTTCTGATTTTCTATCAGCCCTTTTTTCCCATTTCATGCAGCTGCATAGTTAATACTGGAGCTTTATAACACAAAAATGACACTTTTAAGTCACAATTAGGCTTTCTTGCTAGGTTATTTTCTCTGAATTGCTACACCAGATGATTTTTTACTTTACTTTCTCTTCTATCACCGTAATTTCACTAGTTTGCATAGTGATATGTATATACAATAGCAGGAGCACAAGAAGAGATGAGATTCACAGCAGTCCAAATCACAACGTTATTTCAGAGACAGCTGCCCTCCTTTCCTCACTTCCTCAGACACCAACTGTCTGAAATTTTCTGCAAAATGATGTGTGTCAGTTAGTATGTTAGTATGTCATGTTAGTATGGTGACAGGAGCCATGGATATCTGTGCACTTCCCAATAATGCTGCTCCCCACTCAGTTGTCCACAGCCAACTGAAAAATTAAGGACCACAGCTTGTATTAGAATCAAAAGGAAGAAGTGCAGAAGCCAAGTCTTTGCAAAGTTACGGTCCTCCCATGCCAAGTCAAAGAGAAAAGACATTTTCTGCCATTCCAATTATTCAGTTAATCCCAGTGAGTTTTTCCTGGAACAGATATCTGTGTCACCATTACTCAATAAACACAAGGCTATTAAGATATTTTCCAAAGAAAACTCTTCATAAAAGCACAACTTGAAACAAATGCCCATTGGCAGCACAGCTCTACCAGAGCTCCCTCACCAGGCCATTTGCCACTATGCTGAGTGTGCCTCCCCATAGACTTAAGTTCACAGCCAGGTCCAGATAACTGCTCCTGCATTAGGTGGCATATAAAGATGTTGTTTCTTTCAATGCAGAGGGAAAATGCTCAATATTTCTTGACAGACCAGGAGTCCAAACTTGAAATGACTGCAGCTCTTCCCTGAGCACAAGTTTGAGCACTTTTGCTTTCAAAGGGAAGGGAACTTTTTTCTTCCCCTGATCTACTATAGTTAACTGTTATTCTGAAATAACAAAAATAAGTACATCACTTAGAAAGTGGACCGTTTTTGCTTCCTTGGATTTTTGCTCCAAGATCTCATTTAGTAGAGAAAACACAAAAATTTATCCTCACAAATTTCTTTGAGCCTTTTCTTTCTAAGTTTCCCCTGGTCTCACTAGGTTGCAGTAACAATCAGGTTTATCATTTCACAGGAACATTTGTTAGGCCTGTGTTCTCTTTCTTACCACATTACATTTTCATTGAGGAGAAATACAGACACCTTAGGACCACCACTAACACTTCAACTACTCTTTTCCACAGATCTCTAACATTTTAGATACTCTGATCTCACAATTTAAGTCTTCAGGAGCATACAAAATTCAAGCAAAGAGTGTTAACCATAGCTTAATACACATTTAGAACTAAATGAAACAATAGATCTTCACAGGTTATTTTATGTCTTGATTTTCTCACATTTTCTGGATGTTTTGCAGGGTTTAAATAAGAGTCCCTTCAATACCTATCCAAGAACCCTATACACTGCACGTCTTCTTTTTCAGTTGTGAATTCCATGAGTTTAAGTCTATTCATTCTGGGACTTTAGCTTCTCTCTTTTTCAGCTGTTCCTGCAGACACCAACTTGCTCTTATTAGTAGTCATTTATTTTCACCATTCTCTTGAACAACCCTAAACACTTTCACTGTGTGGCTTTTGATTCTGCAATTTTGGTTTTTAGATACCTGCACCCCAACTTTGCAGCAAACATCTGTGTGTGCAGATCCACTGGAACATATGAACATGCACATCTGATAGGCCCTGGCAGGGCCTAGTAACATGTATTTTCAAAACCAGCAGAGTTATTGTATGTTTTCACACACAATGTAGTTCACATGCTGACGCCAAGACACCTCTTGGCCAAACCAAATACAACTGCACCAGGCTGACAAGCCATGAGTGGATTTCCAGTATGTCAAGATTACACCTAGGTCTAAGTTCGTGTCCTAGATATGTTTATGTACTTACAGGTGAGACAGGACCACTGATGTGGCAGCACACATGTACCTCCAGGAGCTTCCTTTGAGCCAGGGGCCCTGCTGGGGTGCAGAACCTGGGCAGGGATGCCCTGCCACCACTCCAGCCTGGGACCCCCAGCAGCCAAAAGGGTGTCTCCTGGCACAGGTGCTTGAGACATATGTTGGGGAGGCACCCAGTGGGGACCAGCTAAGTGAACTGGCAGGCCAGCGACTGTAACACAACAGGGCTTGTGTGAGCAGGAGAGACACTGACAGGCAGCAGCCTGCCCCAATCTGCCACATATATCCACCCTAAAAAAGCATTGAGGATGCACGTCCACATCCTCTGGGTTTTGCAATGCTCTCATTTAACTCACAGCTTTGCTTTTTGTGTTTCCCCCGTTTTGATCCCAGAAAGCGCTCCCCTGTGCCTTACTAGCCTTTTCCTCTTCCCTCCTCTCCAAGTCTCTGACCCAGCGCGCTGATTCTCTGCCCCCTCCCACAGCCCTCGGTCTCCGTTCGCGGTTCCCGGGCCCTGCAGCCAGCCCTGCCTCTGGCTTGCGGGCCTCCCTCTCCCGTGTGCTGTTTGCCAACACCTCCATCTCCCGGACACAGCGCACACCGCACGTAACTAAACCTCTTTTCACCCCTCCCCCGCTTACCAACCTTATCGACATCTTGTGGTTAATCCATGGGCTTCAGGGACTCCCAAGTTGTTAACTAAGGGTTTTTTTTGACAGGCTACAAAACCTGTGGATTAAACTTTGAAGGGGTCTTCACATGACAGCTGGAACTGACGGCATTTCACTTAATAGGTTTATGTTTGACATGCTGAGATCTTCACCTGCGCTGGGAATAATTTGAAAACCTGTAAATAAATTTTTAAAAACTTTGATTTTTTGACCAGTAAATTCTGAAAATTTATTTTGCCAGCAGTCATACTCCTCTGTCTTCTTATCTCTCCATCTCTTCCCAGTTAAAGTCTACCCAAGTCTTTTTCAAAGAAATCCAAGGCACAGCTGACCTTGCTGAGCTAAATACATCAATAGATTCTTGATTTCTTTTGCCTGCCTCAGTGCTGAACTATGTACCAAAATCATGTGTTGGGAACCAAACCCAGAGAGCTTGATACATGGCTGGAAGAGAGCAGCTAGCTCACAATATGGACATATCGTATCTTCCGCCTCAATTTTCCCATCAGTTTCAACTGGAAATTTGAAGCCTTCGGCAGACAAGGTTTACTACCGCAGAGCTTTCTGCCATAATAACACAAACTAATTTGCATAAAGAAAAGAAAAAAAAAATTCACTATCCCCGCCCTGAGGGGAGGGAGCCGCGCCCCTCGCAGCCCCGGCTCCACCCAGCGGCGCCTGCGCACTGCTGCCGCGCACGCGCGGTGGGGGGAGCTCTGTCTCACGTACTTCCCGTTCCCTCGGTTCCCGCCCCGCCGCACTGCCCGCGGGCGATGCGGTGCTCCCGGCGCAGGCCAGGCGGGCCGCGCCTGAGCTCCTGAGCACTCGCAGCCGTTCCCTGCATCCGTCCCGCCATGGAGCAGCCGTACGGCGGGCAGGCCCTAGCCGGCGGCGGCGCGCTGGGGCCTGTGGATGTGCCCAGCGCCCGGTAACGGCGGCGGGGGGGAGCGGCCGCCCTGCTGGCTCCGGCAGGCGGCCTGTCGCCGTCTCTTCTTCAGGAGGGGCAGCGGGCATCGCCTCGCGGCCTCCCGGGGGCGGGGGGGCCGGCGGCCTTCGCTGAGGCGTTGGGGCCGGGCCCGGGCGGCGGCGTGGCAGGTGCGAACCGGCCTCTCTCCTTCTACAGGCTGACGCGGTACATCGTGCTGCTGTGCTTCGCCAAGGTCTTGAAAGCCGTGGGGCTTTTTGAATCCTATGATCTCCTGAAAGTGGTCCACCTCGTGCAGTTTATCTTCATAGTGCAGCTGGGGTGAGTGTGCAGGGGGTGGAGCCTTGTCCCCCACGCGTAATACTTCGCGAGTTCTTTGACAGCGTCAAGCTTATAACCCTGCATTATGTTGTTATAGTTTGTTCCGAGGGGAGAAAGAATAATAGTGAATCGAGGAAGTGCTCTGTTCATAGCAGTGTTTTTGCTTCACATCTCTGTTCACTGTGATGTCATTATCTTGGAACGTGACAAGCTGGAAGTGACCCGTAAGGTCCATTGAGTCCAGTTCTCTCCTCCTCACACAACTACCTGAAACTGAAACATATGATCAAGAGTGTTGTTCAGATACTCTCTGAGCTTTGACAGGCTTGGAGCTGTGACAGTCCTGGGGAGCCAGTTACAGTGGCTGGCCACCCTCTTAGTGACGAACCTTTCCATAATGCACAGTGTGAGTTTACCCTGATGCAGTGTCATTCCATCTTATGCCCTGTCACTGGTCACCAGAGGTCAACATCTGATCCTCCCCTGCCTCTCCACTGAAGAAGGTGCCATGAGGTACCCCTCAGCCTTCCGTAAGCTGAGCAAATCAAGCAACCTCAGATGCTCCTCTTGCCCTTGAGACCTTACACCATCTTGGCTGCCTTGCCCAGACACAGTCTAACAGTTTGATGTTCTTCTGATGCAGAGGCACCCAAAACTGCACACAGGACCTGAGCTGAGGCCGCATCAGTGCATTGCAAAGCAGGACAGTCACCTTCCTTGAGCAGCTGGTGATGCTGTGCTTGAATGCAGATGCACTCCAGGACACAGCTGACCCTTTTCGTTGACCCATATTCAACTGTCTAGGAACCCAGACTTTCAGATTTCTTTCTGTGGGGCTTTCATTCTGTTTGGTCTTTCATTCTCTGCTTTGTGCATACAAGCAGGGTTACCCCACCACAGATGGAGAATCCAGCACTTGTTCTTTTCGTAACATTGGCAGCTGTCCAACTCTCTAGCCTTTCCACATGTCTCTGTAAGTCCTCTCTACCCTTGAGAAACTTCAGTGTTTTTCCAACTTCAAAGCTGGGCCTGTTCCTGGCAGTGCTGTTGGTAATGGTGTGACTGTTGAGCCAGCTGGCAATCCTGGGAGAAGAATCGGGAGGAAAACAAAATAAAAAACTCATGGGTTGAGATAAGAAGAGTTTAATAATTAAAATTAATAAGCTAATAAATTATTAAGTTAATAAGCAAAATATAGTAATAAAAGGAAGGTAGAGAGAGAACCCAGTAAAAACAAGTGATGCACAATGCAATTGCTCCAAACACATTAACGATACCCAGCTCATCCCCAAACTGCAATCAGCCCCCATCTGGGTAGGTCCCCCAGTTTGGATATATACCATAAGTATATGGTATTTATGGTATGGGGCATCCCTTTGTCCTGTTCAGGCCAGGTTCCCTGGCCATACTGCCTCCCAGCTTTTTGTGCACCTGCTTGCTGCCAGAGCATGGGAAGCTGAAAAGTCCTTAATTTCAGATAAGTTGCACTAAGGAACAGCCAGAAGTATTATCAACATTGTTCTTGCACTGAATCCAAAACAGCACTGCACTAGCAGTAGTACTGGAGTAGTGGCTACTGAGAAAAATTTATCTCAGTCCAAGCTGAAACCAGGATACCCAGGCATATCCAAATTTTGCTAACAAGGGTGTAGAAGACAAACTTTCTTCTTCATAGTTTGTATTCCTGAAGTTCTTGTGGGATTCAGATGCTATTTTTCCCAGATTGAGGGCTGAGGTATGAAAACTGATAACAAATACACAGAAACAATCTTTGCAGGCAAGATCCTGCTTCACGTTTACCTGATGTGATGTGGAAGAGCATTTATCTAATAAACCTGACAGAGCTGGAACATTTGGAATTTCATTTTTTCCTTTTATTTCATATTCATGTACATTTATAGACTTCTCTTTTGCATGTTCCCAAGCACCATAGTTTCTTTTTTGCCCATCACTTTTGATCCCACTTGAAGAAGTTGTGTTCTGTGTCTTCTATTCCTACAGGACTGTGAAGTCAGCATTCTATATATGAGTAAGCCTTTCTGTATACCTATCTTGCTAATAAAAATCAGAGTATTATTTAACTTCAAAACTTCTGAGATCAGTTATTTTGATTTTTATAAATCACAAGTCAACTTACCATTAGTCATTCTCTCAATAACTGGCATTTGAAGTTGACCAGAACTGAAGTTCATTTGTCATCACTTTAGTGCTGGTATCTGACACTGGTAATGCAGCAGGGAAAATAAAACCAGTGACTGTTGTCACTGTGGCCCGTTAATGGATGAAATGTAGAGGAATCAATTTTGTAAACTGAGCCAGATACGAGAAACCTATTTGTTTAGATCTGGTTTGAATAAAAAGCTGACTAATAAATTGAGAAAACTTTCCCCTTTTGACAGGTCTGCTTTTTTTATGGTTTTGTTTCAAAAACCATTTTCTTCTGGAAAAGTGGTAACCAAGCATCAGGTGAGTTGACATATGTAAGAGTGACTTGCATCCTTGTAAATATTCTTGGCTGTATGGCTCTTGCCAAAATTGAAAGGCAAACAAAGATTACTTCACTTAGAAGATATGGTTACATGTTCTAGAGGTATGCAACTAACTCAGTGTCTTGTGGGCTAAAACATTCAGTGTGTTTAGCTTTTGTCAGCTTCTTTTGAGAAGAGAAAAGGCTGGTCCTTATCACCAAGCAAGCATCTACTGTAAGGAGTGGATTTTCAAATAGAGCTTAGTCTACTTAGCTGACTTGGACAGTTAGACAGGCAGTTTCTGGACTGCCAGAATGTCAGAATGCTCCAGTCTTGTCCTTCAGAAGAGTCCCTTCTGCATGGGCCTAATCTAACTGTTCATCAGACCTTCGTGAGTTTCCAGTATCCCAAGGAGTTTAGAGTAGGGCCAGGTTGGAACCTGCTGATTTTTAAAAAATAAATTCTTTTCACCTGCTTAATACTCATCTTGGGTTTATGTAGTTGTGTGCACAAAAGCTTGATCCAGTGCATGCGCTAAGTAGACAGAATCTGAAGGATAGCCTTGAAGTGTTCTTGTGTCAACTGGTTTCATGATTAGATGTGTGTGTCAGAATTTAAAAAATGTGAACAGGAATAAATGGCGTCTTAGATTTGAGTTCAGAAAAATCTGTCCATATATGGTTTTACTTTTGCTAAAAAATTTCAAATTCTGGATTTTGAAGATTTTGTTTGTTACTTCATCTTGTTTAGCATATTTCTAGAATTAATTTATTCTAAAACTTGCATCTGAAGTTAATGTGTTGAATATCTGAATTACAGCCTGCTTCCTGAACAATATAACACACACATAAATATTTGTAGGCATAAGGTCTTAGCCTTAATTTCTGTGTTTTATCTAGTTCTTTTTATGTTTATCTGATAGAGACAACAGATTACAAAATAGGTAAATGTACTTAATTTTTTTTTTCAGCCATTTTTGTGGAAGAGAACTCAGACAATGTTACAGAATCTAGTACTGTAGTAGAAAAAAATTCTGGTTCATAGTATATCCAAAAAAATCTTAGTTGCCTGGCAAAGTATCTGAGATAATCATACTTTAAATTACAATTATAGAACTTGCAAAGCACATGATTTCCTCTCAATTTCTACAGCTTTTGGACTAAAACAATGCTAGTAATAGAGTGTTTATTTTGAAACTCTGGAGAAAATGATAATGAAATACCTTTCTTTTGTAGTGGATCAAAATTTTTAAGCATGCTGTTGTTGGATGTATCATTTCACTCTTGTGGTTTTTTGGCCTTACTCTTTGTGGACCACTGAGGTAAATACATATCTTCTTTTGTGATCCTTCCCTGTCTTGCTCCTTTGTTTTTTGTTTTCTGTCTGTCAGGTAATGCTGCTAGCCACTTGATGTATATCAAAAAACTTACTGAAACCTTATGAATTTTCTTGTGAAAACTTTAGTGTTTGTTTGGAAAAGTATATGTAATTTCTGTTGAACTGGTTATTTTCTTCTACCAGAAGAACCACTACTTTTATGAGATGCTAGTGAAATTCTTGATAGTGCTTGGACATTTGATGTGAATGATACATCAAGGTAACTTAGTGCAGTTTTTGTCACTTCCCTGCTCTCATTAATGTAATGCCTACTGTTTATTTACCTGTTTTGAGTCCTTGGCTTGATGGGTAATGGTAGCAGCTGATATTTCTTTGACAGAAATCAATTTGACTAGAATCAATTTCTGCACTTGTTGCAGAGTCCTTCTTTATCTGGTTGGCTATATGCTCTGTGTTGAAATTGGGTAACATTAGTGCATATACAGGTAATTCCATTTGTGCTGTGTGTTAGTACTAATGACTGAGTAACTATTAAAGAGGAGGTAGACTAATGAAGATTATTATATTGGAAAGCATTTTTCATTGGAGAAAGGAATGTAAAGCCTTAAATTATATATTTTATGAAAGTGAATTTTTATCATCTACACAGGAGAAGGCTTACCTCAGAGTAAATATACTGTGATTAATTATATTAATGTAGTTAATACTCTCATGTCTTTATGGATGCTGGCAGTCTTCCCAAACAGAACCTGTTATACAGGTCCTAGCATGTTGTGTTGCTTTGCAGAGGATCGCAAAAGCATTTGGTAATCATTGTACTTCCATGTTCTGGTCAGGAAAGCTGGCAATATAGCTATGTTTGTTAGCCTTTGCTGTCTGAAGGAGGTAGCATGTAAGCCAGAATTTTTTATTTTCAGCAATTAAGAGGTTTTGAGGTGGCAGAAACTACTAATCATCAGCACCTTAATGAACAGGATGCAGTAGTGCAGAACTGGACATCTTTTTTTCTCTGGGAGCACAAGCTGGTTTAGAGGAGGTATTGTAGTGGGAATAATAACTCCATCTTGAGCAAGTTGGTATCCTGTCGTGTTGCTAGAAGAAAATACAGTTTAAAGTTATCTATAAATGAATAATTTTAATCTGTTCCTTGAATTAGGAGCCTACTGTTTTGCAGCATGTATAGTTGTCTGCAGCTAGATCTATTGCTGGTGAAGGCAAATTGATTTGTGTTTTTCCTTTTGAATTATTTAAACCTGTTGTTGTAATCACAGGATAAATCATTGTTGTGTCATTAATTTTAGCTGAAATAGTGTACATCATGGTTGTGAGGTAAACGCATTGTAAATGGAGTATTTATTTAAATTTTTTTATAGGACATTGTTACTGTTTGAGCACAGTGATGTGGTTGTGCTGTCACTCCTTAGTGTCTTGTTCACAAGCTCAGGCGGAGGACCAGCAAAGGTATTTAAAAACCTATTTTACTTAAGGTAAAATACTGAATCCTATAAGTTCAAGTACTCCTTTCCCTGGAACAAACTGTGTTTTGGATCCACATTCACAGAAAAGGTGTTTTTTTACTTTAATTAGTGGTGAAATTGTAAGATGTATGACTTGAAACAGTAAAAATGGCATTGAGAGAGAAACAGTAGGTGAAGGTGTTGGATATCCATGGCAGATACCTGAGAAGTTTTTCTGTTTATAGGAAGGAAAGAACCTTGAGAATTATTTTTGCACTTTATCATTCTTTAAAAGTCTATTAAAGTCTGTTCCTGACGTTAGACATTGAAGTCCAGCAGTACAGTCTCCAGCTCCTGGCCTAGAATCTTCGAGGTGTTTAGCTTTTCACATACATTGTTTCCTTCTGCCAGAAAGTTCTCTAAGTACTTTTATGTCTGCATGGTCCTGTGTGTGCTGAATACTTAGGCCCTTTCATTTAATTGAAGACCTATACTTGAGGCATGTTCCATCTCAGGTCTCATTGCACATACTTTTCCAAGGTGTTCTCTAAATGTGCCAATCAGCCCTAAATGGAATGAACTTACCCAATACCTAGCAGTCTTGAGCACTTTCACTCAAAAACAGTGACAGGTGAAGGAAAACGTCTCCTGTTATAATGCCTCCTCAGGCTAGAAGGGAAGTCTCACTTTGGTGCTATCTGAGGCTGGGAGTTCTGAAATCTGTGTCTCATAACTGCACAGAGTCCCCTAAGCACTTTCAGGCAGCCATAAAGTCACTGTCATCTGTACTGATGGTCTATGCTCATTGCCTGCAAATTGAGAAGCTTAGGGCATCCAGCATGAAGATCACGCTGAAGAAGACAAATTACTTTCTGCAGCCGATTACCAAAAGGATAGATAAAGAGCTTCAGAGAGATTCTTTGTCAGTCTGTATCTTAGTGGACCTTTGGCAGTTAATCTGAATATTTTAAGGCAGCAGAAACAAGGGGGCATCAATGCTGTCTGCTGAATGTTTCAGCTTTATTAAATGAACTGGTCAGGTGACTTTCTGCAGAAAAATGTGTGCAGAAAAAGACCTATCAAGAAAAGACCTATCAAGAATGTGATAGGTCTATTTGGCTTTAAAAGATAAATTGTAATAGTATTTTTCAGACATAGAGCTCAGTATCTATCTAATATGATGAATACCAAAAATTTCAGTGGTTTAAGTCTGGGTGGTGAAAACTGTGGGAGCTGGGATTTCATATCTACCTCTGTCCTTTCCCCACAAAAGCACTTCAGAGCTGTTCTTTCTCATAGTCTTTTCATAGTTCTTTAGCCTTTAGCTCCCCTAAGACAAAATTCAACAGTTTGTACAGATTTTGTTTGTAGCTCATGGATTCTACATAATATTAAATCATCAGGCTGAAGTAGCAGTGCATTTTGGCAGGCAGAAGAAGAAAGTACTCACGCTTAGTTCGTTAGATACCAGCATCTCACTTGCTACAGTGATGATATGTCATGAGTTATCTGGTAAGTGTGAAAACCAGAAAAAATGTGAAACTATATTGTCAAGGTCGCTTTCTTAGAAATAATAGAGGTTGCTTTCATGATTTTCTTACTGAAGTATGCTTACATTTATCTGGAAGCAGGGAAGGAAGGGGCCAATGTCCTGGATTTTTTTACAGTAATCTGTTGTAGCCGTTTAGAAATATTTTGGGTTTGTTGTTGTTTATTGTTTGTTTGGGTTTTTTCTTACAGACAAGAGGTGCTGCATTTTTCATCATAGCTATCATTTGCTTACTACTTTTTGATAATGACGACCTCATGGCTAAAATAGCAGAACATCGTATCCTTTCTTGTTATGTGAAAGAGGAAGTAACTCTTAGTACTGGAGAAGAGAAAATGTGAAATTGAATGTACTGAATTAAATTAGAGGTGATTTTGAAGTAAGTTTTTAATTGATCATCTCATCATAGTGTACTGACAAATGTAAGATGGGCAGTAAAAACAAACAAGCTGAAAGTAAACTTTGCAAAGGAAGAATAAAAATATGGAATTGCAGATGCAAATGGTGTCTTCTGGAACTTTATTGATTAATTTACTTAGCTTTCAGTGAGTAGAATTGTTAAACAGAATCATAGAATGGCCTGGGTTGGAAGGCACCTTAAGATGATCGAATCCAACTGTTTACCCAGCACTGCCAAGTCCACCACTAAGTCATGTCCCTACATCTGTATGTCTTTTAAGAACCACCAGGTATGTTCTTTGGGCAGCCTGTTTCAATGCTTGCTAATCCTTTCTGAATAAATTCTTCCTAATACTCAGGTGACTCAATACCTGATGCAACTTAAGGCCATTTCTTCTAGTCCTGTCAGAAAAAAATCTGACCCCCACTTGGGTTCAGCATCCTGTGAGATAGTTGTAGAGTGTGATAAGGTCTGCCCTGAGCTTTCTTTTCTCCAGACTAAACACCCCCACCTCCATCAAATGCTCCTTGTAAGTGCTTCCCAGTTCTGTTGCCCTTCTGTGAACACACCTCAGTACCGCAGTGTCTTCTTGTACTTAGGGGCCCAAAACTGAGCACAGCATTCGAAGTGTGGCCTCACCAGTGCCCAGGACAGGGGGACAATCCCTGCCCTGCTCCTGCTGGCCACACTATTGCTGAGCCAGGCCAGGATGCCATTGGCCTTCTTGGCCACCTGGGCACAGCCTGGCTCACGTTCAGCTGCTGTCACCAGCACCCCCAGGTCCTTTCCAGCCACTCTGCCCCAGCCTGTGGTGCTGCCTGGGGTTGTTGTGACCCAAGGGCAGGACCCAGCTCTGGCCCTTGCTGAACCTCCCACCATTGGCCTCAGCCCATAATCCAGCCTGTCCAGATCCCTCTGCAGAGCCTTCCTACCCTCCAGCAGATCTGCACTCCCACCCAGCTTGGTGTCATCTCTGAACTGACTGAGGGTGCACCTGATCCCCTCATTCAGATCACTGATAAAGATATTAAACAGAATTAAACCCCAGTACTGAGTTGTGGGGAACAGCACGGGTGACTGAACACTATCTGGATGGAACTTCACTCTGGGCCCAGACATCCAGGCAGTTTCTTACCCAGTGAACAATGTATCTGCTCAAGCCAGGAGCAGCTGGTTTCCCTGGGAAGGTCATGTGGGAAATGGTGTCCAGGGCATCCATGCAGCCCTGGAGTCCATGCATCCACAGTTTTTCCTTCATTGACAAGGCAGATCACTCTGTCATGTTGAAGATCAGGTCTGTCAGGATGTGCTTTTCATAAGCCCATGCTGAGGGCTGGGCCTGATCCCCTGGTTGTCCTGCACAGGGTGTCCAACACTTGCTTACCTCTGCTTCCTGTGTTCTGCTACCTTTGCCTGTTCTTGGTTAAAAAAAAAAAAATCTAATGAAACTCTTCCTTAATTTTTTTATTTAGCTGAAGGGCATCATGACAGTGCTCTTACTCATGTTCTGTATACAATCATTGCTTTCCTGGGTGTTGCAGATCACAAGGTAAATAACATGTATTTTAGAATCTTTGTCTAAATTTTGTAGGTAAGAATTTAACCAGTTCAGAGCTAATCCAAGCCTGAATCAAAATCATGAGGTTGAACATCCCCACCCCATATTGGAACTGAACTAACACTGTAATTTTTGCACACTGATGGGAGTATGAGGAGCTTCAATACAACAAGCCAAACCATACAATATTCAACCTCTATAGCTGATAAGGACTTCGCTGTAATGCACAGCCTAACAAGTCTCATTAAAATTACCATGAAATATTCTGTCATCAGTATTTTGGGTGTTTATAACACTTTGCCTACAAATCACTTCTTAATCACTTTTGGGGCCTGTGTTTTGTTTCTGCATCTTTAGCTTTCCCCAGTCTTTCCTTTGCATCAGACTTGTATTTGAAGACACAGATTCTGATACTTCTCACTAAGAGAGTCCCATTGTAATTGGTGGTATGAATCACTAAATATCATGACCTGACTGTACAGGGTTGACCTGGCTGATTGAGTTGTGTTAGCTTAGTCTTGCTAAAGTGGCTTCATTGAGGCATAAAACAGGAAAAACTATGGAGCAACTGAAAAAGTATTAATATAAAAATAAATCAAATATTAGAAAGACTGTTTAATGGTGCAAGAAAGCAAGTGTGATCTAAGGGAGATGAGATGCTGTGTATCTTGTAATTTGTTTAAAGAACAATTTTGAAAAAGTATATTGTGAAGAAATAGGGTGCGTTCAAAGGTAAGTGGATGAAAAAGTTACGAAAGGTGTAGAGGACAAGATGATATGAATCTTTGGGGTTTTACGTATGCTTTCAACACAATAATGGAAGATGGAAAAACTTTGGGTGATTTTTCTTCCTCAAATGCTGTTTGCTACCATTTTGCTCCTGGTGTATGCCAATTAACACTATTGAGAGTTTTAGAGTTCAACTTACATTAGGCTGTTGTGAATAGTGCTAAGGCACAGCCATGTATGCTATGTTACTGTTTTTAGCTACAGTAAAAATTACAGGAAATATCCTGGTTTGGGCTTTTGTTTCCAGGTTAAGGAAAGCACATTAATATTTTCTCCTTGTGTCACTGTGTTTGGAGTGAGGTTTTTGATACTTAAGAAAAGCTAATGGAATCCCTTTATGTCTCGAGGGTGGAGTACTGCTTCTGGTATTGGCATTGTGCTGCAAGGTTGGTTTTCATATGGCATCCCGAAAACTATCTGTAGATGTAGGTGGAGCCAAGCGTCTTCAAGCTTTGTCTCATCTTGTTTCCGTCCTTCTCTTGTGCCCGTGGGTTATTGTTCTCTCTCTGACAACAGAGGTAAGATAGTAAGTACAAAGATAAATCTTTTTTTGTAATGCTTGTGAATTCCAGTTTAAATCTTTCCTTTAAAATATCTTTAAAATTACCAATATTGCTGTCTTTATTTTTGTAGTAAGCTTTGTTTGAAATTTTCCCATTATGCTTTTCTTCTATATTTGTTTTTTATCTGTGTGATACTTTAATTTCCTCTTTTGTGTGAAAACTGTATTTCATTCTTCTAGCTCAGATATTATATCTTGGGTTCATCTGCTAATATTGCACAAGCGTTAATGGCTATATAAATACAGTGCTTTTTCATCCCTAAGAAGTAGATAATTTATTTTCATTTTAAAAAATGTTCTTTATGCTTGTGTGCATAGGGAGAGTAGGCCATTGCAACCATGGCATTGTTTATGGAATTCCTTTTACAAACATGAAACTATTTAAAATAAAGTACCTTAGTGCATTTTAGATACATGTCACAGTTTATATCTCAAATGATGTGTTTATATGGTAAATTGAATGTATAAAAGTATTTATGTTTTATGGATTAATGAAAATGCTTGTAATTCTACAAGTGAACAATTTAATGCTATAAATACAATCACTCTCCTGGTGAGCAGCCCTGTTTGAAATATATTTTTTGTTGCAGAGTAAAGTAGAGTCTTGGTCTTCTCTCATCATGCCTTTCATAACAGTCATCTTTTTTGTTGTGATCCTGGATTTCTACGTGGAGTCCATATGCTCTGTGAAGATGGAAGCTTCCACATGTGCTCGATACGGATCCTTTCTTATTTTCATTAGCGCACTGCTTTTTGGAAACTTTTGGACGCATCCAATAACAGACCAGCTTCGAGCTATGAACAAACCACCACACCATGAAAGCACAGAGCATGTTCTTTCTGGAGGGGTGGTAGTGAGTGCTGTCTTCTTTGTTTTGTGTACGTATTGTTGTCTCAACTGTGGTAAATCTGTGGTCTGTGTGATTGGGAAGCCAATCAGAAAACTGAGGTGTTTTGGATGCTTTCTGAGCTCTTTTGGATGAGCTTTTATGGATTTCTTTGAATAAGGCAGCCTGTAGCTTTTTGCTCTTTTACTGACTGTATATAGGAAAAAAAAATGGAGTTTGATCTGTTGTGGAAGTGATGATCTAATTTTACATAGCAATGAAATCCAATAATAAACCTCAAGATTAAGTTGACATCAGTTTGCTGCCTGAAAATTCCATGTAAACTTTGATTGCTGATTGAACACATTATAAAATAGCTGTGAAGCTTAGAAACGGCAACAAAAACTTCAATACTTTCCTTGCAGCTGCCAATATCCTGTCCTCCCCCTCCAGGAAAGGGCAGAAGGGTACCCTTATTGGCTATTCCCCTGAAGGCACTCCTCTCTATAACTTCATGGGTGATGCATTACAGCAAAGCTCCCAGTCATTGCCCCGGTTTATTAAGGAGTCACTGAAACAAATCCTTGAGGAGTATGATTCTCGGCAGATCTTCTATTTCTTGTGCCTAAATCTGGTAAGTGTATGTATTTTTTACATCAAACCCGATCACAACAGTGCATATACAATACAGAAAGAATAGTTACTCTTTAAAAGATTCCCATAATTGATTGGTTTGAAAGTGACCTTTGACAGAGCAATTTAAGTAGTCGTCACTGGTTTGTTGTCACAGTGCAGCATTAGTTCTGTGTGTGAGGGTTGCACCAGCAACTGAACACTTTTATGATAGTATGTTTAACACTGAGATACCTCAATGTTGCCAGCAAATAAGGTGAAACTGATAAGGCCTCAGAGAAACTGATAAGGATGGGGACAACAAAATAGAAGGTGCGGGGTTGATTAGTATTGGAGCAGGCTAGTTTTATTTTTAGCTTCTCTCTTTCTTTAATAAGAAAATATGATGCAGTTAGCAAAATTTATAGAATCTCATTTGCAAAGATCTCTGGGAAAATAGGGGGAGAAACTTGAAGTATCTGTGTTAATTGTAAGGAATTCCATTATGAAATATGAATATATGAAATAGGAAAAAAGATTTTAGGTAAATGGATTAATAATAATAAAATGTACAGGGTAAATGTATGTATTAAAAATGTTTCCTTGTGTACCTTTCTCAGAGCCAATTCCTAAGATTTAAACAGTCATTCATTACTTCATTTCTTCATTTGCTGGTGAAGAAAATGTTGATATAACAGATTTATAGATAGTATTACATTATTTACACCAATAACGTATCAGATCAGAGCTCTTAGATATTTAATGACAAAATGCTTAGAATTTTGTCTGCAGAATGTCAGTTTAAAATTCAAAACCAAAAAATTACTCCTTTAAAGAGTTGGTTTTTTATGTGTGAGACTTCAAGGAGAGTAGGTTCAAAAATGTCTCTTTCTAGACTTGGAATACATCATGTATTTCATTGGAGGAGAGAAAAAATGGTCTAGAAATACTTAGAACAATACCTTTGAAAAATGTTGAGTGTTTTATGAAAAGAATACCCTTCTATCTACCAAAACATTAATACACAAGTTAATATTTAAGGAAAAATTCAAACTCTATTTTGTTTTAGGCTTTCACTTTTGTGGAGCTTTTTTATGGAGTATGGACCAATAGCCTTGGTCTTATTTCTGATGGATTTCACATGCTTTTTGATTGTTCTGCATTAGTGATGGGGCTTTTCGCAGCTCTGATGACAAGGTGGAAAGCAACTCGCATATTTTCGTATGGGTATGTATCTTGGGTTTTTTAAGGATTATTTGAAACTTAACTCTTCTTGCTCAACAAAGTGTCAAAAGAAGTGCTTTTCGAAGTGTCCTGGTATGTATAGAATATTTTACTAATGCATGCTTCTGTGGGTTTTTTGCTATGTCTCTATGTATGTGCCTACACTATTCTCTTCTTACCTATGCAAAAAATGTGTCTGAAATACAATTTTCATTTACCCCTAAAAGTAAAACTTTTATCACTGTGAATATTCTTTAGAAATTACCTTATGCTAGACATTTATGTCAAACAAAAATCTATGTTAAAAAGTCAGTGTTCATATGAAGATTTAGATACAGCTGATATAATGAAACTTTATATGTTTGCATAGCAGTTCAGCAGTTTGAAGCCCTGAATGAGCAGTATAAGAGACTACTTCTGTAGCGTTTTATTATAATGGAGTTTGGACAGTTGGAAACTGGGAACCTCTTGATCAGAAAAAAATAACTCAGAAATTGAGGCATGATTATGTGATATTAAGGAAAAAAATCACAGCAATCTTAATGCTGTATTGAAAGAATTGTAACTTTATTTATTACAACTTTGACATTTGTTCAGAGTACCCACTCTTCACTCTCAAAAGTAAATATATTTACTTTCAGGTATGGACGCGTAGAAATTCTCTCTGGATTTATTAATGGCCTCTTTCTGATGGTGATTGCTTTCTTTGTCTTCATGGAATCAGTGGCGAGACTGGTAGATCCTCCAGACATAGATACAAACATGCTAACCGTAAGTTTTGTCCTTCTGTTTCAGTGTAGTTTTGCAGTTAATCATTAATTTATGTTTATCTCCGGGGTGATAGTCCTTCCAGTACCTGAAGGGAGCCTTAAGGAGAGCTGGAGAGGAATTTTTTGCCAGGGCATTTAGTGGGGAAATGGCTTCAAACTGAAGGGTAGGTATAGATTAGATATTAGGAAGGAATTCTTTATTGCAGTGGTGGTACTGTAAAGGTGGTAAGGCACTGGAACAGGTTGCCCAGGGAAATTGTGGGCTTCCAGAATTTTCCTTAATTCAGTGCATGGCATCTTTGGTTACCATGTTCAGGAAAATAAGTTTGAATACCTGTGAGGATGCAGTGAAGTTAAAGACTTTTCTCCCTCTCACAGCCAGTCTCTGTTGGAGGGCTGATTGTAAACCTTGTTGGTATCTGTGCCTTCAGCCATGCGCATTCCCACGGGGCTTCTCGGGGAGGCTGTCCCACACATGATCACAGCCATTCTCACCATGGCCACAGCCACAGTCATGGGCACGGGCATTCTCACAGTGACCATGGGCACAGCCATGGACATTCCCATGGATCTTCTGGAGGAGGCATGAACACCAATATGAGAGGCAAGTACAGACTGTTGACTCATAAGCGATGTATGCAATTTCTAGGATCTTCAGAATCAGACCTATGCATTATTATGCCTCAATCTAAAAATGCTTTTAAGGAGTCATCTGACAGGTATTAAATGTGCTATACAGGAATTGCTCAAACCATTTATGAATTTAACTTGGAAGAAAGAAACGCGAAATGTTTCTGTGCTGAGGTGTGTAACACATAAGGAACAATAAAAAGCAGTAATCTGTAGTACTGACTAACAATAAAGGTCACTGTAAACCATACTTAAAAAGCTTTAAGTGCTTGTTTCTAAGTTCAAACTGGAAATGAAAGTACAAGGTCTCTATCTATAAAGATGGTACCATGCTTCTAGGAATTGTGTGACAACTGGTTGTAAAACACTGGGAAGGGGAAAAGAAGCAGGAGAACAAACACAGACCAAGAACAGAATATGCTTTTATTTGTGATTCAGAAGATAAAGTGGTAAAGAAAAACTTTCAAATCTGAAATCGTAAGCTAACTAAGAAGGGCATTGTGTATGAAAGTTCAGCATAGAATTTTTTTCCTAATAATTAGAAAGTAGTTAATTACCAACTGTCTGGCTTTTAAAAAAAAACCAACCCTTTAGAAGAAGTGTTTTCTGTGTAAGCTTGTCAGAATATGGTGAATAGTCTCATGTTTCACAGGTTACTTTATGTCTTAACTCATTTGGTTTTCCTGGTTATTCATTATGTCTGTAATTTTTTTAAGTCTGCCTATACTCAGGTTTCAATATTCTTTAAAATCATGACACTTAACTAGCACTAATCTTACTGATGGTTGGAGGGTATTTTTTATGCCTATTTAGTGTACATTGAGAATGAGCCCACAATTAAAGCAGTAGAAAATATCAAATTCATAGCAGTAGCACCAAGACAATTCTCTTGTAAAACTGGAGTAGAACTGGCATACAAAAAAACAACCAGTGCATTTATGTGTGTCCACATTAGCAAGCCAGTGCATGTACGCTGATCTTCCAACTCTGTTAGGGATCAATGAGTCCTTATATACAGAGTTAAATGATTATGCTATATTGTACAAATCCCACTAACAATTTAAAGATTATTCACATGTACTTTAGTCTGTGGATGTCTACCTAGATCATTGCCTCCTACATGAAAAATTGTTTTTTACATTAATTTGCAATTCAACATTAGAAGAGCTAAATATTTAGTGTATTTTGTCCCAGCTTAGGTAGACAGTCGTCTCTGTTTAGCTTGAGGATATTTAGTAAGCCTTACTAAGTTTCTGCTATTGAATATATATACACATTTTAGACAGAACTGTTAATCACTCTGTTTGTTTTGATTTTAGGTGTGTTTCTGCATGTATTAGCAGACACTTTGGGCAGTGTTGGTGTTATCGTATCCACAATATTTATTCAGCAATTTGGATGGCTCATAGCTGATCCGCTCTGCTCTCTCTTTATTGCTACATTGATTTTTCTTAGTGTTATCCCACTATTGAAAGATGCCTGTCAAGTGCTTTTGTTGAGAATACCTCCAGAACAAGAGAAAGATCTGCATGGTGCTTTAGAAAAGGTACAATTATAAATGGTTTTATGTTCAAAAATACAAAGCTGTAATCGTTTTTTATGATTAGTGAATTCGAGCAGTTCAGTCAGACAGCTTCTGTTGTCTTAGACAACTTCATGTCTCAAGTTGTTTAAAACCTGTTTTGCAGAGAAGTGACAAGATAACTAGTTCTAACTATAAAAGTTGGTTTGCAGCTAAAAAGACTTCCACTGTTTTTTGCTTTTATGAGTATCCCATAATTTCAGATAAGTATGGTAACACTTTGATGAACGTAGTACTCTGTGGTACATTACTCTGAGAAAGTAATATGGCAGTTGCCCACACCTGCAGCCTTTATAGACTTGGTATGAACATTCAGGCTACAGCATTGTGTCATAAGTTTGTAATTTCAAGTTTTCTGATTTATCCATATTATGAAGGTATACTGGTTCACAGTGGGTGGGATAGCAAAAATTAAGCTGTTTTTTCTAATTACTTTCTCATTCTAGATTGTTGTCTTCCTGTCTGGTGCAGTATGGCATCTGCCTTAAAACTGTACCTAGTCTTTGTTGTTGCCTCATTTTAAGTTCCTGCCCAGAATCATAATGTGGACCTCAGTGCAGAGAACTCCTCCCTGTAAAAGAATGAGTTAAAAGTTTTTTGAGGAAGGCATCACCTAGAGGCTTCAAGGAAGACTATCCTTACAGTGTCCTGTCAGTTATTAGATGGGAAAATGTGTTCTTGTCTGCATGAAAAAAAAAAAAAAGAACAAATGGGAATTGTCTGAGAGATGAATGTAGTGAAAGTGACATGCAGACTGTGGTTTCACTTTTTGATGAGGGAAGACAGTAATTCTGAGAGAGTGGGGAAAAAAAAGTACTTTCTGAGAACAATCAAAGACCAATTGATGAAAAGATAATAGGAAAAACATTTTTTAAATTACATCACAATAAAAAAATATGCTTGCTGTAGGTTGACTGCGTCCAGCAGCCACTTGCTCGCTCCCCTCCTTTGCCACCACCACTGCCAGTGGGATGGGAGCATAAGCAATAAAACTATGGGAGCAATATAACAGGTGAAGGAAGAGTGGTGGAAATATTTTTTAAAAAGCAGTGTACCACGTCCCACAAGCAGACTGATACCCAGGCAGTCCCCAGACAACAGCCACCTTGGAAGCCAAAATCCACCCCTTCATCCTCTACCCCAGTTTTTACTGCTGAGCAAGGTGTTACATGGCATGCAGGATTCCTTGGACAGCTTTGGTCAGCTGCCCTGGCTGTGTCACCTCCCTGCTTCTTGCCCATCCCCAGCCTACCTACCAGGGCAGGGGCAAAATGGGAAAAATAGAAAGCCTTGAAACTGCCTGATAGAAAAGAGAAAGCCTGAACAGTTCAGCAATAGCCAAATCATTGGCGCATTATCAAAATGGTTTTAGGCAGAAATCCAAACCACAGTGCCTTTTCAGATGCTCTGAGAAACCATCACAGCCAACCTAGAGCAAAGACCAGAAAAAAAATATATCTTATGGAAAAGAAGTTATGTCTCTGAATAAAGTTCAGCTATGATAACTAAGTATAGCTGCTAAACGGTGAGGTAACAAATTCCCTGGTAGGTGCCAGAGCAGTATTCTGATTACTCTATCCATTTATATTCCAGTGATCTGTTCATTAAATCTGGGGATTTTTTTCCTCATCCTGTTTAGCATTGTTCTTCTAGGGTTTTCATTTAGTTTGACTTTTACCTTCTAGAATTTTACAGTAGTAGCAAGGTAACCTTTCAATACAAGATATTTCTGAATATAGCTTAGTTGGAAAGCTGCTGTGCTACAGTTTTGTTTCCTTGTGAAATACTATCCACCAATAGCCACGTACATGCACAAGTTTAAAATTACTTTATTTTTGCTAATGAAATTTCTTCACAGATTCAGAAAATAGAGGGAGTTATATCCTACAGAGATCCTCATTTTTGGTGTCACTCTGCAACTGTTGTGGCAGGCACAATACACGTGCAAGTAGTATCAGATGTCATGGAACAGAGAATTGTACAGCAGGTAAAGTGCAAGGTTTTTTGACTCTTAATTTCCTACTCCCTTTTGGTCACAGACTGAAGTTTCAAGCTGACATGTATGATTTTTTTGTAGCTGTTTGTTACTGTCTCAGAGCTGGTCTCTAATGTTGTACTGCCCCTTTTGCCTGCTAGTCATGTAATTAATCATGTAGAGTTGTTTGCTAGAACATCTGCCAGAACACTGACTGAAAGTGGCACTACATCAGATCTGAGAAAAAAAAGGGAGGTGTAAAAACCTTATTCCCTGCAAAACAGGGAATAAGTAGTAGGGATATCTGGATGCTAATCACATGTCTATAACTGGATAACCACTACCTATCTGCTATGGGTTTCTCTTTTCCTTAAAAAGACACATTTCCTTATGCAAGACAATGAGAATCATCCAGCGTGCAAAGGTTGTAAAGCCATACCCTCTTAAGCTACTCTTTGCTCTCCAGATAATTCTTCACAATGATATGTGGAGGTTTCTTACAGCATTGCAGAGCCAGCATACTTCAAGTTACTGTGAGGTACATGTGAAGTGCAATACTAATGTTAACTGTACCATTCTGTTCAGGTCACAGCAATTCTGAAAGATGCTGGTGTAAACAACTTAACTGTCCAAGTGGAGAAGGAAGCTTATTTTCAACACATGTCTGGACTCAGTACAGGATTTCAGGATGTCCTTGCAATGACTCAGCAGCTAGAATCCATGAAATACTACAAAGATGGTACTTACATCATGTGATACAAAGTTGAATTTGCCAAAGGAGATGTAAATGGTCAAGCTGTTGGATTCCACATTTGTATTTTTGCCAGGAGATCTTGCACATACATGTACAGAAACAAATGTACTATATATTTGAATTTTTGTAAGTGTACTATCTTTGTTAATCGGATTGAGATGCTTTTATAAAGGAAATAAGGACTTGAGTATTTGCTGTAAATGTGAAAATAATCCAAATCTTATATACTGTACTTGGTGTTTATTAAACAGAAATCTTGAAACTTGTAGATGAGCACAGATGTATTCCATACTTTCTCTAAAGTGTGGAACACCAATACTGTAATTTCTTGTTAGCGGTGGGAAATAGAAGTAGTTTATATTGGAATGCAAACATAATCAAATGGGCAGAGTTTGATTTTTCTTTCTTTCAAGGATAGCTTGAAGGCTCTTAGAATGAAAAAACCACTTTATTATGGGGAGTGAAAAAACGTCAAGTCCTGTGTTTTGCATACTTTGTTAGATAATAGAAATATACAGTTTTTATATTATATCTCAGCATACAAACCTGATTTCTACACTTAATGCACCAGAGCAAATATATGTTACCATTTTACATTTGTATTGAACTATTTTTTTTAAGAAGCAAAATCTACAGTTTAACAGTGAGAGATAGGGAAGGCAAGAAAAATGAAAACAATTTTTCCTGGGAAAACTCAGAATCGTAGCTCAAACCACTGTAAAATAAAACTTTTTGTACTTTTTGTATGAAAAATTGCAAATGCAATATTTGAAGTCTAGAAGTAATAAATCAGTGAGTATCCTAGCACTCAGCTAAGCTTCATCTCTTCAAGGTATGTTACCCTGTACTTCACTCAGTTTTTTTAGTAATACCATGACAGCTGCAAGTGTACTGTAGCCAACTGTACCTCCATGTGTTACCTGGGGAAGTTCAGGTTTAGAATGCTAAACTGTGACAGTAGTTTTGGACTTGACAAGTTGCTGAAATGAACAGTAAATTGAGACTTCTTGACTGCAAAGTGAAAGAGTGCCTTTAAGAAAGAATTGTGGATGCTGAGGACTTAATACTGCAAAGAAAACAAATCTGTGTGTTTAGTGAAAAACCTGTCAGGAGGGTAATAAAATACATCTTCAGAGGTAGTTGTGCTTACATCTGTTTACAGGCTTCTTATGTCCCCTCTTCTTGTCTGTAGCTCATTAATATTTTCCTTGAAATACAAAAAATTAATTCAGTGGTTAACAAGAATGAATACATCTTTCATCATCCCATGTATCATGGCAGTATTGTTTTGTCATACTGTTTTCTTGTTTCTGGTATTCAGTGGTTCTTAAATACCATAATAATAATCATAATAAATTTGATGTTAGTGAAATTGAAGACTAGAATGATAAAAAAATTATGTAATTGGAGGAGATTTGTCAGGAATGCAGTTAGGTATGTCCTTGAGCCATTCTGTTTTGTCTTGTGATCAGATTGTTTCTACAGCTTCTGTGGTTTGTTTTGTTACTCTTGAAGGAGTTCCTCCTGTACTATGTTAAAACACTGTCTGCAGTACAAGACTGACTTGGAAAATTGTAGTCATAAAACTTCTAGAAGTTGCATTGCATTTGTATAGAGTGATGAAGATTAAGTGCATAAATCGCAGTCCCTTATGTCTTGGGACAGCGCTGGAGAGTCAGCCACCTCCTCAAAGCTGGATCCTGTTTTCTCCCCATTTACACATTTGGCAGTGGTTTTCTTATTTTGCCTCCTCCAGAAGACTCATGACTTGACGAGCTACAGTTACACTCAGTCTAGAACTAGAGTGATATTTTGGTTTTGAAAGCAATCTCAAACAAAAAGCTTCAGTTAATGTTTATATGTGCCACTCCTGTTTTGAGGTGGCTGTAATAGACTTGGCAGTATTTCAGCAAACCCCATTGGGACATGAAAATGATAAAATGGGGGTGATTTTGTCTTTTAGATCATCTTAACATAATTGTAAAGGTTTTGTATTTACCACAGCTTCCTCTGAGCAAATGGCAGTTTCCTACTAAAGCTGGTAGTGGCAGAACCCAAATCAAGTCAAGGTGGCTGGCACTGTGATCATGGCAGTGAAGATGAGCCCATACCTGGATACTTAACAGGCAAGTGCAGACCTACATCTTAGTTTGCATTTGGCAGGTTTTTGCATGGTACTCAGGACATACACACAACGTTCTTCCTGGCTCTCCTGGCAGGAAGACAATGGCAGTAAGCATTGTGTCTTAAAACATCCATCTTGAATTTGTTTAGTCTGACAAGAATCCACCAAAGAAGGGTTCAGGATTCCCCACAAGATCTGTTGGAAGTGCTGTGTGGGCAGGTTTTCAAACCACAGGCGCAGGCCAGTGGATTCGTATCTTTGTACTGAGAGGGCATGGGGAGGTTCAATCAAGTCACCTGACGTGTATACAGAGTTGCAAGAAAACACTTTGAAAGATTAAAGAGGTTTTAAAAGCACTCCAAGCGAGCATTACATGTGTGCATAAGGAGGACAATGTTAGTGTTTTCCAGTAATGTTTTATGTCCTGGTGCAGAAGCCATGGGGCCGTAGGCAGGGCCCGAGTTGCGGGGGCTCGGCAGCGGCCGGCCCTTCAAATGCGCGGCGCCTGCGGCATGCTCGGTCCCGCTGCTCTCTCCTGCCCGGCGGGCTCACCTCGGTACGGGCGCCATGGGGGCGGCCGGGGGTATTGCCGTGGCTCGCAGGGAGGCACCTGCGCGGCCCTTCGTGTCCTGCTCGCTCCTTCCCTTTCCTTCCATTCCACTTGGCGGGCAGTGCGCGATACAGCCCGGTCTCGGCTTCGCAAGGAGTCCTCGCTTAGGGTCTTCGCTCGGTGGGTGTCCGTTTCGCTTACTCCTGGGACAACCCGTTGGTTCCCTCTGTCTCCTCGCCTTCAGCCCTCTAATGCGAAGGGGAGCAGCCGTGAAGCACCTCAGCTCTGCATCTACAGCCCTGTGGTTCCGGAGCCGCGCGGTCTTGCCCCGGCTCCGCTCCTCCAGCCCGCCGGCGCTGCCTGCAGCGCTGCCCCGGTTCCCCCGGTTCCTGCGGCCCGGGGACGCGGCGGTGCAGCGCACACCCACATGCGCCGTCCTGCTCGCTGCCCTTCTCTCGCCCTCCCCTGCAGTCCCGCTCCGCAGCCGATCCCTCCTACGAGAGGAATGTGCCGCGCTCACGAAGGGAGAACATCGGCCGCCTCATGGCTGAGCCGCCAGTGCGCCCAGCCGCCAAATAGTCGCCAAGTTGAACGGGGACCACGGGCAGCCGAGTGTTAAGTAGGCCCCATCCTCGGGGAGGATGGTTACCAGGAGGCTGCTGAGGCTTTCGCCAAGGAAAATGTGTCCCTGCCAGACCCGGAGCCGCAGCCAGAGCCCTCCAAGGTACCGTCTGCGGCCTCCTTGTGCTGTGTGCCCCTTCCCAGCCCAGTGCTTGGCTGCCGCTGCGGTAGAACCGTGCCTTACTTGACCCCCTGAAATAGGGGCCATGAGCCCCTGCAGTGTTCCACACTGGTCTATGGAGGGAAGTGTTGTCTGCAGTGATTTTCTGTATTCCCTTGTAGTAAGAGCATCAGCCTCCAAAACCCATGGAAATATGTGAATGTGATCTAGCAGAAGACACAAACAGTGTCAGGCTTTTTCTGATGTCTTGCTTGAGTCTGAAGACCCAGACATGGAAGATTGTAATGACCCAAATCTGTACAGCAACTATGTGAAGGACATCTACAACTATCTGATACCTGGAGGTTGGTAGGCATATAATGAAATTAGCAGTAAACCTGTCCTTGTAGGCTTTCCTTGGAGTTGATATTCACTTTCACTGGTGATTTCTCCAGAGGCATTAGTAAGCTTCCCTCAACTTTAAAATACAGGATTGAACTCAGTTGATAATATGAAGAGATGCTAGTTGTTAGACCAATCAAGTACTAATACTAGTACTATGCTCTTTCTAGCCCAAGTCTAGTGAGCAAGGGAACCTTGCTCCCTGTGGTCTACACCCATGGTACATGTCTGTACCAAACTCCCAGATGAGGCCAGGAGAAGAGGAAATGGCCACAAGCTGTGCTGGGTGAGGTTTAGGTTGGAGATCAGGAAGAATTTCTTTACTTAAAGAGTGGTCAGACACTGGAATGGTCTGCCCAGGGAAGTGGTAAAGTCACTCTCCAGAAGTTCAAGAAGTGACTGGATGTGTCAGTTGACAAGGGGCTTTTACCCTAGGCTAAAGCATGGATGCTGGACATTCCCTTAACAATACAGATATACAGATAACCAACAAAGGACATTTGATTCTCATTTGTATGTACCACACAAAGCTCTTGGCTATGAACAGAATTGATGTATCAAAACTCCTTATTCCTCTCTCTGGTTTGAACTCAAGGCCTATTTATTACACCCCTGCAGGTGCCAGTGGAGGACAGAGGATGTGTAGCTATTCTGTGTAAGTGGGTATGAACATCCTGCCATATAACAAACCTTACAATGACTACCTTGAAAACCTGTGTTCTGAATCAAGTCATTTAGATAAATCTCTACTGCTGCTTTCTGTAGGACAATGCTGTTCCCAAGGTAAAGTTGCAGCTGGTTGGTGTCATAGCTATGTACATTGCCAGCAAATATGAAGACATTCTTCACCCATATATTGGAGACTAGCTGTGTATCTACACTTGCTCAAAGGTCCATATTCACCAGATGGAGATCCTGAAAGCCCTAGACTTCTCTCTGGGTTGCCTTCTCCCTCTGCACTGCCTAAGAGCTTCAAAGATTGTAAAAGTGTTGAGAATAGGTGTTACTGCAAATTGAATCTGGAAAAGGCAGTATTTAACTATGGCAACTTGTTAAAATGTCTCAAAATCTTTGAGTACTGCAATTGAGCCTGGCTGAGGTCTCCCATGTAGGAATTACTTTTATCTGTTCCTGTGACATGAGCCTAACTTGCCAAAATTCAGTGTTAAAATGCATGCCTGATTGTGAGGAGCCAATTTAGTTTTGATTTGCCTCAACAAATTTTGAGGTTGTCAAAGGCATGTGGAAGAGGGGTGCACATGTGCCATGTGTAGAAGGCAACTAGAAGAAGCCTTGTCTCTGGGAGGATTTTGCCTGAACGCCTCACATGGGAGAGTCAATTGGAGACTCTAAACTCCCCAGAGGGGCTTCTCCAAGCAGATGGTGAAAGATTGGACTGGGCCAATGGTCTCCTGGTCAGCAGGCAGGCTCTGGGAGGAGCCAAGGGCATAAAAAGTAACTGCCTCACAAGCACT